GTTGCGAAGCTAAGTTTCTCTAGATTGGCAACAAATCCGCTACTCAGCTGTTTCAAATGTAAACAAGAGCAACGGCCGCCATCAAATTAGGCTTAGAGGCACTTAAACAATTTTAAAATTGTTGATAATACTAAAAATATTGCATACAGATTTACTAAAGGCATAAAACCCTTAACCGGAAGATAAAAACAACATAATTCAATCATTTTCAAAGCAAAAAATGTACAATTTACAAACATATAAGAGTAAAAAAACTGAGATCATTGAGCCGGGTAACAGAGTGGATATATTTATAAATATATTTATATACGTTTGGCGCGGCCGATTGAAACAAAAATACGAGGTGCACATCTACATGTTATAGTAGTCGTATATACAAAATTTCAACGTTCTGAGGCTACTCGTTTTTGAGTTATGCGAGATACGTACGTACGCACGTACGTGCATACGTTCGTACAGACGCCACGAAAAATTCTCTTCAGAATTCATTTTAAAGCAAAAGTTTTTTTTTTTTTTTTTTTTTTTTTTTTTTTTTTTTTTTGAGGAAAAGAGTCTTTTATTCTGTCCTTACGTATAGATATTACGCAAAAACATCGTTAAATTGCATTCGAAAGCGGTCAAAGTGGATATTTTCGTTGAAATATGCTGCCTGAAGCTTTTCGCGATTACAATACTTCCTTTTTACTTCGTACAAGGAAGTTAAAAAGAAAACTCAGAAGTCTTCTGTTGCCCAGCATTGTTGGTCCGAAACTAACAATTTCAATTTTTCTGCAACCAACATTATTCAACAAACATCTTCTATTGGTGAATTATATTTTCTATAGGCATTTCACATTCAAAAAAATCTTTCTGTTCTAGTTAACGACCCTAATTCCAATCCATGTTTGCCTTCAGCCTTTAAGGAAATTATGTTTTAGTTCTCCTTTGGTCAACAGATAGCGCCAGTAGCTTAACTTCTGTCCAGCCACTATTCTCTTATCTAATAACTGTATCCTATCTCGTTCATTTGAACTTTGGCAGCTGAGGAAAATGGTTCGGTAAAATCATCGAAACTAGTCCTATGAAAATTTGAAAATATAACGCTGATTTTTGTTGCTTAACTTGTAAATTAATGCTATTAAGCTTGCTATATTTTTAGTGTTATTTTTAGTTAATCGGAAGGCATTACCAGTTGACCCATGGTACATCGTGGGAGTCCTCCACATTTTTACTTGCACCTGTACCTGGCTATTTGGCTTTTGGGATTCTTGAAATTTAGGGGACAGGTGAGCGATGCATGATCTGTGCGAAGCAGGAAGTTTCTGCCATAGAGGTAATGGTGGAATGTTTTCTTATATAATACGATAATTACCCAGTGGCGGATAGATAATTGAGGTTCATTTATTATTAGTACTCTAATCATTATTATTACACATAGTGTCCAAAACCTAAAGAGAAAGGTTATCTATCGCGGAAAAATAGAGTGAATCTACTTCATGAAAATACGCGCAGAGAACCTGTAATATGCAGACTTCCGATTCTTGCATTTACGTTTCGCGTAATAAATAAAAAGAAGGCAGAAAATAAAATTAACGTTATCGATAAATTACATTTTTGAAGAATCCTGAACGCGGCAGAATAAATCTACAAATGTGAAATTATGTTATTCGCCGCCAAAAAATTTAATTACATGCGGGAAGATTACAGATGAGTTGAAAGAAGGCCTCGAAATAGTGGAAATTGTATTAGAATCTGGAATCGCTTGAAATATGAGTCTGTGCTTTAGAGAACAATTCATACAACGTATCTGGAATATACGTACAGAATGTGCAATGTAGTTGTAATGCGTGGTCGCCTGTAACATATCTGGAATCTCTTCCAGGCACTTTGCAGGAGGCTGACTTTCCTCTAAGACTAGATAAGCGTACCTGTGATTAGATTTCACAATAAAACCCAGTCCATGTTATAATTCCAAACAAACGCTCAGCCATATCTTTTGCAGCATGTGAACAAGCATATTTCATCTAACTGTGGTTCGATGCGCTACTATATGCTAAAAATTCGATCGTTTGTGCGGTGCTGCCTGAAATGGAGTTTGCAATGGTAAAAGATCAGCTGGGATTCAACGATCAGCGTTCACCCGATGCTGGTTCTCCAATGAGAGTATATTGTGTTTGCTATGAGATTTTGGATAGCAGCCCATATGAACACAAAAACACTACAAGAAAAGAAACACTACAAGAAAAGTATCATAAATGTGGTGTAGAGATAACGTTGTTTCCATGTACTATGACTATGGCTGTAATGAGTGCAGACGCATAGCAATGATACCATTGCTGGTGATCACTGTTGCAAAGAAGTCTTTGTGTGCCATGTTCGCTTATTCCGTGATACAACTGCCTAAACATTTCATTTATTTATGATAAAGCCATGCTGTAAGGAACCAAATCTGGAAGCCAGTAATCAGAGATCTTCTTATATAACAGGATGTTCGGGAAAACGATCGGCGTGCGTGCATCCTAAACTTCAGCTCCATTTAGACTATCTACTGTATTATGTGAAGAAAAATTCAATTCCCAATTCTTTGGCGAGAAAAACAAATTGTGCTATAAAAGATGAATTTAATGATTTACCCTACTTAAATCACTTGATAAAATGAGCGTTAAAGACGAAGTGACTGCTGAATAATAGCTTGCTTGGGTTTGAATGGAATGTCTGATTTCTTCAAAGCAGTCAAGGGCTATTGCCCTAAGCGAAGCATTGCCTTCGTGGAAAACTCCCAAAGAGAAACTGAAACGTATTCATGTTACATATGGGAAAACCCACGAAAACGCTCATACAGCTAGTTCATTTGCTGGGATTTGATTTTGGGTCAAACTACCAAGCTGTCGTATGCGTTCTGCCATGAATCACAGCTCGAAATAGACCTATTTTTCGTTTAGAAGTAAAACTGGTAAAAGTACTTTTCGTACATCTTTCATAAATCACGAGCACTAAGTACAGCATAAGTAAAACTAAGTATAGCCAAAAGTAAGACTTGCTACCATTATTCCATTATTTACAATTTGAGGGTTGTCTTCTTGTGTTACGTATTGGAAAATAAATAGCTTGTCTGTTTTTCACCATTCCTGTACAAACAAAAATGCCACTGATTCTGAACCTTTGGATATATGTGAACGCATATATGCACACGCGCATATATGTATATGTGTGTGGTGGTGTGTTTATGTGTGTACACAAATGTACACCGCGCAAAATAAAAAAAAGGCAATTCTATATTTACCGTTTTACTGGCTCGGTTGACGAAATTTAACTTGTGTTTTTCATCTCTCGCAAGCGCGACTTAGGGTGTATATTAGATTCATATATAGCATTATTCTAACATAGGCATTTTGACACAAAATCAGACCTTTTTCTGGAAAGAAATGCCAATATTTTTCCATATTTCAGTTCTAGGACTCAAATTATGCCCAACTGCCAAGTTTTGTAAAAATCGCACTCGTAGTTTTTAATAAATTAGCTCTCAAAATTTTAGCTCCTCTATGTTAATTGCATTTGGTGTATACTTATTAATATCTCTTTTTTTATTAACTTACTTGATTCCTTCTTCCAGAATTCGAGATTTAGACTTAATCCAAATATAATTCGCACATTTTGAGTCCAAAGGGGCTTTGTCCCTGAAGGCCTATTGTTTTCCTTTTGCGATTTTGCGCTGAATCACTATAAATGTCCGTTTCACTTTTCAAACTGTTGCCACCAAATGTTAGAGTCCTACATTATATTTGAAGAAATTAAATAATAAAAAATCAGCATAAATATATGTATATTTCTCGCATTGTGATAAAACAACGGTACATGGAGCCATGGAATTTTGAATGAGGTAATTCTCCTACGAATATGGGCATGTGGAAGACCAAATTTGAAATTTGTTTTATTATTGATTTCATATTTTGTAAACCTTTAACGAATTTTTGAGTAACAAACTCAACGATGTAAAAGCGAGCAATGGCAACACTCTACGGGGGGGGCGAAACCTTTTTATCTTCAGCGCGCGGAACTGTGTATCGGAATTCTAAAAATAGGCTCATTTTAAAATTATTTTGCGCCATTGCTATTGAACTGAATTAGTTTAAGTGCAAAGAACATGATATTTAATAAATAAAGGTAACACACAAAACGTTAAAAAAAGCCGTTGGACGTAGTTTAAAATTTAAAAACCTTTTAGAGTTTTTTTTATGATTTATTTTTAGAATTTTGCATTTTTAAATATTTTTTATAAATATTTCGAAAACATTTTTGTATTATAACCTATAAAATGTTTAACATCATCTTAAAGTAGATGTATTTCTAGGCATATCGGCAAAAAATATTGAATTTTTTATTGAAAATTTACTAATGGAATTGATACTAAAATGAATTTACATGTTGGCGTATTTTGAAATTTGGCATTTTTTTTTAGAGATAATAAAGCCAAATGTGGTTTACGCACTTTGTAATAATTATTTGAAAGTGTGAACGATGACGTTTTTCCGCTCGTCTACAATGTAAAAAAGGAAAAGAATGTAGGCTGTTATAAATTAAGAAGTGCGCCAAGTAAATTATTCTTCGTGCAAACTGAAAAAAGAATGCGCCAAGATAAATTTTTGAATTTCTCTGTAAATTTCCCTCCAAAATTTAAAAAATTTAATATTTAGGCATAATTTGAGTCGTAGAATCGAAATATGGAAAAATATTGACATTCATTTCAGAAAAAGTCCGATTTTGTATCAAAATACCTATGCTAGAATAATGCTCCTATATTAGAGTACATAAATCTAATAGGTATTTAAGTCGTGCTTTCGAGACATGAAAAACGAAATTTGAATTTCGTCAATCGACTCAGTAGAACGGGAGATATAGAACTGAACCCTTCCCCCCGCAGTGTACACATATATTCACATATAAATCCTTAAGAACTACCGACGCTAGACAATTCAATTTAGTAATTAAATATTAAAGTTGTTTAAATGTTTATTTATCAGGTACATGCATGACAGATGTATCGGCCGTAAGAACATCCTATGTCACCGATGCTTGTCGGACACCTGGATGTTACAAAGCAGGTAATATTTGATTATTCTTATTTTTAGTTTTCTTAGGAGTCATAAGAACTGTTCTATCTTTCTTCCCAATAGAAATTGTGTATTCCTCGTGTGTAAAGATCTGATAACTTACTAAAAAATGAAACTTCACCTAATTTATTATATTTTATGTAATTTGTTTATTTTCCTATCTTTGTTTAAAGTAGTTTTGTTATTTTCCAAAACAGCGTGTTTCACAATCTCATCCAGTGTTAGGAAAGTTTGTCATTAAATAAGTACTGAAACTGCAGTAAAATGCTGCATAGCGATGCAAAAAAAATTTCCAAGTGTTCATGCAAGCCCTACCACTCGACTGTGAATTTAGATGATAGGTGGCTATCATTAAATACTTATGTGGTTCGGAGGAATTCAAAGCTTACCGCTTCTTCGAATTCGTTATATGTGAGTCAACTGTGATAGTATAATGGAGATTTCGGACTAAATGTGAAACACATCGACTTGTATACAAGAATGTTTATGCATAGCACAACAAATTCATGGAAACAAGGAAAGTATGCATTTCAGAACGAACAGACCAACCAGGTACGTCAACTAAGGCAGAAGTCTGCCCATACCACCAGGGGCTGCCCATACCGAGCATTTGTGAGTTTATATGAATTATTTGAAGAGATTCCATATATACTGATATGCGTATTTTGTCTGTGTTTATGAAGTATTTGTTTTACTTTATGCTTTTGGAATTTTGTATTATGCTTTCTAAAGCACTGACAGGTAAAGTTACCAGATAAACACAGTAAAGAAATTATTACAGAAATCTTTTATTTGATTACGAATATCATATTTTATTAATAATGAAATTACATGTTTTCTTATAAATACAAATGCAATAAAGTATTTGATTTTTCTCTAGATACTTGATTAATTCATATTAATTAATCTTAAATAGACACTACTTTTAGGTAGTGAAAACGTTTTAAACATAAAATTTCATTTAAAATAGAAGTTCTTTTACCAACATCACGTTCATCTCCGGTTGATTATGAAAAATATAACATAATGAGTATTTAAATTGATATATAACAGTGATTTAAGAAAACTAATTAATTAATTAATTAATTAGTATGCTAAATATTGAAGAAAAAATGCTTTTTCTAGCAGCGCAAAATATAATTCTTTTAAATGTTTAGTTAATAACCAAGAAAATTATAATATAAATTTTGCAATTGGGTGTGGTCCTGCTGTGGGTTCTAAGTAACTTCGCTACGTCACTTGTAGTATTACGCATATTCTATGACGTGAATGATCATTACCATAACATCTAGCAGTCAAACAAACAGACATATATTTAAAATATTTAACTTATTCTATCTCATTACTTGTAAGTGATTAAATTTAAACATACTATAGCAACCTAGCTGAAGTAGAGTTCCTTGAAAGCTGGAATATTGTGAAGAACTATGTAGTGAATATTCGCTGAGTTCTTGTTTTGAGTAACTTCTCCAGGGAAGGATTAAATTACCCTTTTATTTCAACTCAAAGTTTATTTACAGTCGTCCCCTCTCGGACGTACAAGAACTCGGGCTTTAACTCAATATAAAAAATATAAAACTAAACTAATACTAGATAAATTTAATCAGCCGAAGTTGCACAGAATCAAACTCGTGGAGTCGGTCCTTAATTAAGAATTACAGGCCTATTCTAGGAGGCACGTATTAAATACGGCCGCAGAATAGCAAGCTTGGGCTAATAGCAACAACCTGGAGGTAAGCCAGAACACGCTTTCGTACTAAAGTGGATCATTGATCATCACTTTGCTGTTGGCATGAACTACTTTGAGTTTTTGCCAGCAAATCAAAATGTGCCCTAAGGCCTTTCGCGGTAGTTATAAAAATTAAGGTGCTACGCACCACACCCGGATTAAAAAAAAATCAGTAGTGACAAAGCAAGCAGTTGTGCATGTAAGTTTGCATTAGATAAACATTTATAAAAATATATTCATGTTTACAGTTACCACCAGTGTGCATTGTGATGAATAGATTTTGGGCGTTTTACAACATATTTTATTGATGGATTGTAGAGAAATTAGGTATTTTTTTAAAAGCAGGCAAGATGAAAAATTAGGAACTCCTTCTCTGGGAATCGAACCGCGGACCTCTGGAATACGCGCCCAGCGTGCAGACCACCACACCGCGAAGGCATGCCAAGAAGGCGGGATAAATATTTCATAGTATCATATTTGGTGAGTTCTTTAATTGCACGATAAGGCGAGTTCTTTGCATTTTCGAAAACTTTACAAGCAGTAATTAATATTTGATCATGGATATGATTTATTTTTAATTTCTCATGGATAAATGAGTTGCGCACAAGCCACGGCGTGTTCACTATTGATCTTAGAATTTGGTTCAGCAAAAACATTTATTTTTACTTTTCCGTTTTATTTGCAGTGGCGCAAGCCGGAACTGCGTAAAATAAAATAGGGCAAATGAGGGATAAGTAGAGTGTTCATTTCATACGAATATTTAGTTTTGACCTCTATCATAAAATTAAATTAATGATTAACCAATAATGGCCGTAAAATCAGAACTGGCATGGTTTAGCACAGAGTGGATATGGCCTTTGAAGATGAGTTTTTGGCCAATGGTAATTCCTAGATATTTGTACGAACTTGCAAGAGGGATTATTTCACCATTTATTGCAATGTCGGTGTTCACTCTCATTGTAGTCCTGTAACATCTGTAGAGCATCACACAGCATTTATAGGTATTAAGACTAATTTTCCACAGGTTTCATCATTTTGCGACGATACTGACACATTGAACATTGAACATTATTTATGGCAATTTGAGGATTTAAAGCTTTTAATAAAATGACCGCACCCTCTGCATACTTTAGAATTTTAAAGTTGAATGGGAAAGAAAATCGTCTATATAGATGTTAAAAAGTTTCGGTGCTATAATTGAACCCTCTGGGACTCCACAGTGAATTATTTTCTTGTCTGAAAGTGCATTTCCACATCGAACCTGGAAAGTTCTTTTCAGGTAATATATCATTAGTAAAGTGAAAATGTTTGGGAGAAGAAAGTTGGAGAGCTTGTGTATAAGGCCATTGTGCCAGACATAGTCGCACGCTTTTTAAAAATAAAGAAAACATGCTGTAACACCTGATTTTTGAATGAATGCTTGTGGCATCTGTTTCACAAGATTTAAGATTTGGTAGGTTGTGCTATGGCCTTTCCTAAAACCGAATTAGTAGTCATCTCTTAAGTTTAGTCGTTCAAGGTGATCTGTTAAGCGTTAGTTTAAAATTTTCTCCAAAACGTTTCCTATAGTGGGAAGAAGGCTAAGCGGCCGATAGCTAGAGGTAAATTTTGTATTCTTGCCTGATTTAAGGTGAAATATACAGTTTATAGGGAAAGCTTTTAAGGCACCATTACTGATGTTGTCGTAATCTCTGTCTTTACCGCTTTTTAATTTCTTTAATTTCTTCGGGTGACGTGAATTTGAGAAAATTTGTGCTGCTCCTGTTCTTGATACTATTTATTGAGTTAGTAATTTTCTCTTCAGGAGGATGTGGCTTGAACGTTTCGGCAAAATCAGCTGCCATTTTGTTAGCGACGTCATGTTCTAAGTGATATACGTAGCCCATGTGATTTCTTGAATGTTTCTGAATTGGCCCACCTTTTCTGAGGGAGTGGGCGATCTTTCATACTGTATTCGGCTGGATATCCATGTTGAGTAAAAGATTATCCCAATTCTCAGACCTAAATTCATGGATTTACCGGGTAATTTTTCTTGAAAGGTAGTTTACATCTCTCTTAATTCTTGGGTATCTTGTGAGCTGCCAGTATTTTCTTAACCTTTTTCTTTCTTTAATGAGGTTCTTGATATTGTTGGGTAAATTAAAATTTGGGGAATCTTCAGAAACAGTAGAGGAATTTTGAATGGCTTCTTGAATTTTGGAGAAAAGCTTGTAAATTTTATTCTCTACATCACCACAGTGTTGCAAGGCAGAATTACAAGGGAGATTTTTGAGGTGATCAGTAACTTTTTTCCGGTTAGTTTTGGTGCGGGGGAATTTAGGTGGAGCGTATAACCTAAGATACTGGAAAATGATCCGATGACAACTCTTCTTTCACTTCAAGTTGAGGAACTATTGTTCGGTGTTTCAAAACGACCATGTCGAGGAAATCCCCGGAACCCATGTAATCATATCTTGTAGGATTATGGGAGCAATAATTTTATATCCGAATTTAGTTGGTAATTACAGAGTATCCTTCTACCAATATTTGGGACGCGAGAGTTCCAAGTGGCATGCATGCTTGGCATTTAAGTCGCCTGTGATGACAGTAGGGAGATCGATGTTGGAATGTCTAAATCACTTGTCTGCAGTCTTTCTCCGGGAGGGTGATAAGCTTAGATGAGAAGAAAGTTTTGATTTGTAGCGCTTTAGATCATTGCAACAGCAAATTCCATCCGGAAAGTGCTGGGAAGATAGCAACTTGAGTGTTTGATGTAATTTTTGATGAGAATGGCGGTACCAGCACCAGTTATGCTGTTATGCGTGACATCTGTTCTGATAGTCTGGTATCTTCGAATTTTAAGTTTATCGCACGTTTGTAAGTGAGCCTCATTTACTATCAAGATGCCAAATTTATGCTTCTAAAGAAAGTCCAAAATCTCATTTTGCTGGTTCCGTGTTTCATTTGTATTAAAGAAAGAAATGCGAAGGTAGGCGTTGATGGCCACATTATAAGATTAAATTGCTGAGAAGCATTAAAATCCATAATCAATGGTGGCAAAATATTCAATGGCACTCCTGTCAACCTCGATTTTCTCCATAATGTTTTTAGCCGTTTAAAATTTCACAAAGAATTCTTTTGTTTTTGATATGTGAGCCTTGATCCAATCAAAAAAATGAAGTTTCTTTGGGGGGAGGAGCTCTTGTCCTTATTATTGCTCCATGCCGAATCTGCTTTTTGAGTAGTTTCAGTTTCTGATCCTAGTAAAGCAGGAATATTTTCT